CCCCCCCCAATCCCCATGGCTGTCCAACTCTTCAACATCATTTCCTAAAATTCTTAGTTAGACTGGAACTTTGCCAATGACAGAAAAGTTATCTGTTACTGTGTACAGTTAACTGCAATACATATCTAAGGGCAATGAGAGAAATAGATCAACCTGAAATTAAAGAGCTTCCTGGACTCAAGCTAATAGAGAAGGAACCCCAGTTCCCACCCCAGAGCTTCTGAGAAGGTCCGGGTCCTGACTGCACCCTGCACAAGTGATCACTTCTTGTCAATCTGAGAAATGGGTGGGATTCACACCAAACTAAAGACTTGCCACTGCAAACAAGGGAGCACCGGAACCACAAAGAAACTGAATGTGCATCAGCTCTGAGGCAGCAAATTAGAGGAAGCGTAGGGGAGCCCTGCACGTGCACCCTGGAGTTGTCAAGCTCTTTCAGTCCGCAGGACAACCTAACTCGGTGCTGAGCACCTGTGCTGGCCCTGGCCTCCAGCCGGATCACAGCCTCCTGGGACAGGCCCCGGAAAAGCAGCGCTGGAATGGTCCCCAGGTAAATGTAGTGCATAGCCAGTGCGCCGGACATGCGAGGAACCTTTAGGGCCACTCAAAGATCTGGGATTCGCCCTTTCATGGACAGGAACATTGCGGCCCTCCACCGCGCGTGGCATGGATGCGTTCCTGGTGGCCGTGTCCACTCAGTCTCCGACGGTCTGTGATCGCCCAGATGTTGCCCTTCCGGACCGGGGCCGATAGGCAGGGAGCCGCGACGAGGGTGCCGGCGAACCTTTGGGTCCACGGGTCGCCGCGGTCCCTCGCACGGGCAACTTGGGGAGCGAACGGGCAACCCGCGCGGCCGGCAACCTCCCCTCCTCAACTTCTCCCTGGGCGCAGCCGCTGTGGCACCGCGGCCGCGTTGCCGCTGTCCCGCCCCGGAAGGGAGATCGTGGCTCCCGCGGAGGTAGCAGGGCACGCGTCGGTCCGTAGCCCGGCCTCGCAGCCGCGCGCCCAGCGTCCGCCCCAGCGCGGCCCCCACCTGGTCTCCTGGTTGCTGAACTTCTTGGTGACCACCTTGCCGAGCTCCAGGCCCAGGCGGTCGGCGACGCGCTGGGACAGGTCCTGGTGCGAGCTGCCGCTGAAGAGCACGATGTTGGGCATGGTAGCTTTTGGCTTTCGAGTGGTACACTGCGAAGGCGACAACAGCGACAACGACAGCGACGCAGACGGCTACTGCTGCGGGAGCGGGAAAGCGCGGTGGCGGGACCCAGGGGAGGGGCGGGGCAAGGAGGGAGGAGTCGGGGGAGGAGCCAGGGAGGGGAGAGAGGAGGGGCAGGCGTGGAGGGGAAGCTGGAGCTTGCTGGGAAGCTGGCTTCCCGCAAGACCTGGGTTGCAGGTTGGGAAGATCCGGGGGGTCCTTGCTCCGTTGGAGGCCTCAGAGCCCCACACTTGACCTCTCCCACATGCCTCGAGGGGGAGACCGGGTAACCAGATAATTGGGGCACAGAGAATATGTGCGAAGGGACCAAGGAGGTACATGCCTCAGGCAAGGAGCGATCCTCCAACCTGGAGCGCGCCACAGCCAGTGTGAACAACTTGTTTTCAACTTCACCAGGACCTACAAAGTGGCCCATAGATCAAATCCAAGGAGTAGCGGACGAAGCAGCGCTGATCCGTGTGGCACCTTGGGTCAAACCAAATCTCCCCAGAGTCTTCTGTTGTAGGTAGATGTGGTGGTCCGAGGACCAGATTCACAAGTTTTTGCCTCCTGTATTCTCAAGAGCTGCTTGATCCCAACCCCAGTCTCTGCGCGCCTCTGGTGTCAGTGCCTGCCTCTAGTCCCTCCTGGCAGAAGCCAAACAAAAATTTTCCTTAGAAACCTAATGCAGTACCGGAACCAGCCTCTGGGCACAGAACAAGTGCCGGGAAGGGACTGCAACCTGTGTGTGTCCACAGACGTGGGCATTGGAGATGCTGGTCACGGCTTTAACTCACTAAGCCCCTGAGAAAATGGCGTGGTTTTATTAATATTTGGCAAGAACGATTTGCGGCTAACAGCGAGAGCCACTTGCACCTGAATTGCAGTTTATCCCATCAGATTTCTTACCATTAGGATCTGAGAGATTAATGGTATTACTCATATCACTGGGATTTTGCATCTGAGTCTTTGTATTTTGTAACATGGATTATCTTCTGCATCAAGAGTTTCTTTTAAATTTTTGTAACTGTCTGCTTACCAAAAAGGTTTCCAAGGGCTAAGGATGCAGCTCAGTGGTGGTCTGCTTGCCCCTAGCAGGTGCAAGGCCCCAGGTCAGTCAATCCCTACAATCACCCCCCAAGCCCCCCAAAAAAGAACTTGGTCTGGGGTGTAGATCAGTGTTAAAGCAGTTGTCTAGTATTTATAAGGTTCTGGGGTTCAAACATTAGCACTGACAAAAGAAAAAAATTGTCAAAGTACCATCTCCAGTAGCGTTTGTGCCCCTTTCCATTCTTTTTACAAAGGTCTATATGCCTTATAATATTAAAAAGAAAATAGCTGTAATAGTTTATTATCCATTGTGCCACATAATGATGTTTCAGTTGATGCCAAAGCACATATACAAGAGGCCCATAAGATTATGTTGCTTAGTGAGGTTGTAGATGACTTAGTTCATTTAAGTACACCTTATGATGTTCACATAAGGGTGAAATCGCCTAATGATGCATTTCTCAGAACATATCCCAGACTTGAAGTGGCACATGACTATATTTCATGAAAAATTAAATTAAATTTACATACCAAATTGCTATAGCAATTTATACTCATACTCAACCATATGTCTCAAATTTGTATTGAGTGGATCTGCTAATGTAAATTATGTTTAAACTCGCTTGGTAAAAGTTACTGCCAGCACTATTACTATAATTTTTATGTCCTTAAAATTTCTTTCACAGATAAAATTTGTTAATAATGGGATTCTCCTAAATAAGTACATGTTCTTCTGACAGAACCAAGTGGCTTCCTGTTAGAGTACGGGGCGAGTATCGGTTTGGGATAACAAGGCTGGATTATGAAATATTATAAATCAAAAGTCCTTGTTTCTGAGCCAGTTCATAGAAGGAAATTTAGAAGTCGGATTGAGTTGACACACTGGGACTTTGATAGCACCAGGAAGAAGCGCTATCTGGGTTGGGGTAAGGAAAAAAAATTACTGTCGGGTCGACAGTTTGATGAGTTGCTGTGCTAAAGTGCTGGGCATAAACAAGGGGGAAATGTGCCATTGCAATACTAATAGAAGTCACCAAATATCATCATGAGTAACAGATTGTACACAAACTGTCACCAGGAAATGTGCAGGCTGAAAAGTGGAGCTGTAGAAGAGTTTATCTGAACACGTTCTCTCCCAAGCCCCTTTTCCTTTGTTCCATGGGAGCCAGGTTGTGGGGAAACCTTGATAGACAGCAAGTTTCTCAACCTCCACATAGGTGACATTTGTGCAGGGTGATTGTCCTGTTATGGGGCTGTGCTGTGAATTATAGCATGTTTAGCTGCATCTCCAGCCTGTCTCTACCCACTGGAGGCCAGTAGCCCCTTTCTAATGGTTGTGACAATCAAAGTGTCTCCAGATATTGTCAGACAATGATAGAGGGCAAAATCACCTCAGATTAAGAATCGCTGGCCTAAAAGGCTCTTTTCTTCTCCATGTGGACTGTCCCAAGTGGCGACTCAGGCTGCCTCTGAAGATGATTGTAGGATTCCGAGAAGGAGTCTTCTGGGAATAAGATAAGGAAAACGATAAGGTCCAAGAGCAAGCGCTGCACTGGTCAAAGCAAGTTATATGGCTATGGTTGGGTTCAGTGTGGGATGGAATCACAGAGAAACAAGAATACTAGGTCCACCATAGGTCCCCAACATGCACCTACTTCCTGAGTTAACAAAAAAAAAAAAAGGGTCCTCTGGGAAAAAGCAACATATACTCAAAGACTCAAAACTCAGAGCAGAAAAGGAACGTGTATGTACTGTGAATATATGATCACAGATCTTGGGAATATCATAAAATATTCATTTTTTAAAAATGTATGTATTTGGTTCGGGGTCTCACTATGCAGCTTAGACTCATAGCGATCCTCCTATTTTCAGCCTCCCCAGCGCTGGGATTGCAGGCGTGCGTCACCATGCCCAGGCCCAGCGCACCTGGAGGAGGGGCCAGCGTGGCAAATGGTCCCAGGGATCGAACTCATTATTGTAAAATAAAATGGCATTGGGGAAAAATAAAAATTATATGATTTTCAATGGTGAGTTCTCTCTTCATTAACTCAAGGGTAAGTATGAAATAGGGAAAACATAATTTGAATTTGAAGATAGTTTTACATTTTCTATTTTCCATTTAATTTTGCCAAATTATTTCTTCAAGTGAGAGTTCCAAATACTTGTGGAGCAAATTTATCCCTAAGTACTTTAAGGCTGAGAAATGGAAAGATGTCTCAAAGTTGCTTGGCTATTGAAAGACAACAGAAGAAATACAGTGCAGATCTGCTTATAGAAGAGTGGTGTCCAAAATGCTTATAATGCAAGCTATGCATGTCATTCACATATTTGATAGCTATACTTTAAAAGGACTGTAAGAGGACTGGTAAAATAGCTCAGCGGATTAAAGCCCCTGCTTAGGCAGATGCAGGGGCCAGGGATTCAATCCCTGGGCCTGCTGTGCCATCCTTGTCCCTGGTATGTGCTGAGACAGCAATTGAGACTGGGCATTGTGGCACACGCTTGTAATCCCAGCATGTGGGAGACTGTAAACAGGAGAATTACTACAAGTCCAATCTACGCAGAGAGACAGTGTAGACCCTGCCCTAAATAAAATTTAAAAAATAAACATAAAAGGACTACTAGAGAGATATATAAGGTAATTTTAATACTTAATCCAAAATGTTATCACTCCAACACGTAATTGACAGAAAAATACTACTAGAATATTTTGCATTTTTTGATACTAAATCTTTAAAAGCTGGATGTAAATTTTATGTATGGAGTACAATGAAATTTGGATTTACTATATTTGAAGCTATCAATAACTATGTATGGCTAGTAATTTCTGTATTACAGCAAAAAGCTCTGAAATACTGATTTGTAACAACCATGCCAAGACACTCAACACTTCCACTCTCTTCTGTGTTTTTACCTGGGATGTGGTGAATGAGTTATAAAAATCTAAAGCTTATAGACAATTTACTTTAAAAATAAAACAGCATTTTCCTCATAATTGAGTACTTGTTCATTGTTATCTTTACTTTTACTTTCTATTAAAACAAAATTCAAAAAACAGAGAGAAGTGAGTCATCACCTAGATTTTGCAAATGAAAAAAATTAGCCTTATATGCTTCAGCTGTTTTTGTGATTTTTTTTTCCTGGTATCAGGGACTGAACTCAGAACCTTGTGCTTCCCAGGCAAGCACTTATTTCACTGAGCTATCTCCCTGACCCATATATTTTTTTCTAACATAGTTTAAAGTGAATTGCAGCTATCATGTATGCAGCTCTAAGTTTTACATGTATCTGTGACAAAATAAGCATAGCACACTTTATAGAAGAATTGATTTAAAATTTATAAAATGCATAAATGTTTACCTAGCATGCATGAAGCCTTAAGTTCAATCCCCAGTACTGGGGAAAAAATCTAAATGTAATAGTTCAACTAGGAAATCCTTGAAAGAAAAAATAAATACAAATTGCCATGACTTTGGATCAGGCACTGATTTCTTTAATATGGCATCAAAAGCATAAATGGCAGCAAAAAGAAAAATACATAAATTTTAAGCATAAAAATAACGAATGTGTTTCAGAGGATATCGTCAAGAAAGGGAAAGATAGCACAAAAGAAAGGGAAAATGGTTTGTAAATCAAGTTTCTCATAAAACATATTGTCATGATTTGAGGGGTTATGCAAGGGGAACAATGAAATACAGGACACGTTTTGTAATATTATTTTATAATGAATCACCCCAAGAATTATATACAACAAGTGCAGGAAACCTATCCACACACTAAACACTAAAGAATCCAGCTGAGGGCCTGGATAACAGTGCCACCCATAAGTCCAACTAGAGGTGTAAAGCCCATGACAAAGTCTTATAATGGTCTGCTTCATGGATTTGTGCGGGAAAGGCCCAAAGGTCAGTGGTGGAAGCTAAGAAGACTATGCCAGCAAGATGGAGGATCTGTGCCAGCAGCCTAAGGGATCTGAACTGGAGCTAGGAAGCAACGCTCTAGGTAAGCACCAGAGCTCCCCCAAAAGTACCACAGCCAT